AGCAGGACTGCCTGAATCTTTGCCTCCTGACTTCCTAGTTGCCTTGCTGTCAACGAGTCTTAGGAAGTGCCACTTCCTGGCCTGGGGTCAGCATGTCGTGCTGGAGCTTGTGTTTGCTGGGAATATACGTAGGTGCCACCTCATTGATCGTGTTTGAGACATGAAGAGTTTGCGCGAAGTTCGCTGTTTCAGAAGTTGCTCTAACCAGCACTCTTTTTGACCTTGCCATTCTGTTTCCTGGCTCAGTTCTTGGGTCGCGCATTTTCCTTTGTTTGGAATGATGTTTTTAAGAAGCACGAAGTTTACGAAGTGCCACTTCCCATCCTCCAGTCAGCATGTTGTCGTGCTCGTCGGTCGTGCTGGCCGGTCGCTAGGAATACGTAGGCATTTCGTGTCAGAAACATCACCACCGAGTTTAAAGCGTTCCACTGCCCTGCCTCCAGTCAGCATGTTGTCGTGCTTGTCCGTCGCGAGGAATACGTAGGCCTTTCGTGTTAGAGACATGTGACCGGCGAGTTTAGTTTAAGAAGTGCAGCTACCTGCTAAACCGTTTGTGCCCAATATTTCAGCCATACCTGTTTCTGCAATGACTATCAGCCCTTGGGCTGAAATTGTGTCTCGTTGAACTACCACAACAAAAAAACGCAGAGCGAATTAATATCAGCCTTCGGGTTTTGTTAAGAAACACACAAAAGCATTATTAGCCTTCAGGTTTTTTCGGAAACCTAGCGAGAAAGAAACTTCGACGACATGATAGCGTTCCTCAATAATTGGGGGTACTGCTGCGGGCAAGTTTGCAAATTAAGTTACATCGATACCACCTATGTGTCGAACTGCATCTATAGTTTCGTTCAAGCTTGGGATTTAAGACCCAGAGCTTGTCGGCTAATGCCTTAATAGCCGATAGCCCTGCAAGCCTAAACCCAGGTCCTCAGCCCACCCGTACCATCCCAGTCCAAAACAGAATATACCTCAAATCAGTAAACACCCTGAACTGGTTGAATTTCAGGTGGGTCTGTGATCCTTTGAGGCTCTGAGGGCTTCCTTTTGAGATCTCTAGAAGAATTATAAGTTTAACCATGGCACGACATGACATAAATTGAGGCAAGATTGCATTATCAGCATATGATCTTCAGCATCGACAACTTCAGGGTCCTTTCAAAGCAAGCTCCGAAGCCTATCAACCGAAGTCCAAATCCCATGGAAAGTCAGCATTTCACTGCCTGCGTGGTCGGGCACATCGGTCGAGTCGCAACTCTGCTGCAGCTGGGAGGCAACGCGCATTCAGGACTTAAGTTTGTCTGATTGTAAAGCCCTATAGAAAACGTACCGCACATAACTTAGCTATCTCGAGCTTGTGCGCAACATCCTTGCCGCAGGGGCCAAGCTAATCAGCTCAGCTCTTTCCAATCCATAAAAGTTTTGATGAGCATCCTTTCCAGGGTTCTCTGCCCTGTCAGTCGTGCTGAAACACGTCTAGATAGACGTGCCACCTTGCCTATGAAGTCCTCCCCAGCCTCAGCTAGGAATGCCGCAGGGCTGAGAATGTACATGCAGGTTTCTTTCGCGAGTTGAAGCCGAAGTCTGTACGCCATATGCTTGAATAAATGAAGCGATGGCTCAAGATGGAAGCGATTCTCTCGTCGTTCATGCATCCTATTCGCCAAGAAAACATAGCAGGATGTAAACATCTCCACAGCATTCCTTCAGGGGTCTGTTCAGAATCCCATAACATCATGCACAACTATAATATAGTAACCCATAGCGTTCAATGAATAACTAACACAAGAAAATCCGATGGAAGGGACAGTTCAGGGTGCCGGGATCATATTGGGATGGAACTCGGGGGGCTTATAAAGCCGGGTCTTAGCTAATCTGTTTTCATATCAAAGCAGCATTGCTTTTGTAGCTTGTTCACGATTGAGCCACAATCCAGACTTGTTGATGACATCGAAGAAAAGAAGACAAGAGCAAGCACCATCTAGCATTGCTTCGAGAATCCTTTGTGTGGCTTCATCTCCTGCAAAAAAGTCTTTGAGTGGACCCTTGGTTCGCGCCCCTTGATCATCGCAAGGGCCATAGCGCAGCAGGCGAACAAGCCAACGAAGCATCAGCGTGCAATCACTTCCTTTGTAGCCGCCCCATGGAAAATCCTGATTCTTTTTTAGATGCAAGATCTCTCGAGTAAATCCTTTGACGTTCGGGCAAGACTTGACCTGGCGGCAAGCCCATCTGAAATCAGCGTATGCTCTCTCAAGTAGCACCTCCACATTGTTGCGCTCCCCAGCGAAGATGTCCAAGAAAACCAAACAGACCAGGCAGCTCGCTGTGAAGTGCCGTCCTATTCCGTATTTCACCACGTGGAAAGCGTCGTTTTTAAATAAGGCCTCGGGTTTTGAAGCATCGTACGGAATGGAAAGCAAAGCGGAAGTATTCCCAGTGTCCCAAGGGCGATCCTCATCAAGGGCGATCCTCATACAATGTGCTCTGCCAGGATGCACGATTTGAGACATCTTCCCATGGCAGGTCGTCCAGCCCCGCCATGCACATGTGACAGACACGTTTGTCCCTGCCCAGCCTGTTAAAGCTTGCTGTGAGTTTCTCAATCTTGCAAAGGGCAGGGCTGTCGCCTTTAACCCCGACCAGAACACCGTACCAGGTTTGGCCATGCATATCTTGGCAGCCATTGTAGAATAAGTCGCGGCATTTCTCCGAAATCTTCGTGACAGTGTTGTGGAAGACATGAAACCTGTCAATCTGCTTGGTTGTCCTGTACCACTGATGAGGGATCGCAGTAATCGGAAACCGGGACATAAGTGAACTGCCCTTTGAAGTGTGCAGCTGTGCAGCCAAGCATGCTCGAAAGTGCTCGTCATCATCAGTATAGCACGTCCGGCCTTTATTTATCCGATCATAGTTGGCTTTGGTACCGACCCCAAACAAGCTCTCGAATGCAATAATCATCACAGGACTCTTCCTATATCCTCTGCCCTCGTCCAGGTAGAGAAAGAAGGGAATGCAAGCAGAAAGTCTGTCGCTGTGGTACGTAAAAATCTCATGCGAAGTGTCCTCGTCACGATACGCATGCCAAAAGGTTCTGAGGTGCCAGCGTACTTCAGGATCCCGTACATCGTAGCCCCCCAACAAAACTCGAGGTTCTTTATGCAGCATGTAGGTCATCCAATCCAGCACATGCAAAATGGGAACCCAAAACAGGCCCTGTCTCATAAAGGACATTGGAACGTCAAGCGTCAGTCCCCATTCCCGAACCAGTTTGTGAAGCCTAATCTCCGCATGCGAAAGATCCACATTCGACATCATTTTGATGCCTCTGAGGCAGCCTGGCGCCTCCCGTTCGATGACTTTGGCGAGGTCGACCACCCGTTTGGCGGGATCCTGGGTTTTGGGTTGGAGAATATTGTTTGGGTTTTAAGTTAATTAATCTATATAGCATAGCAGGGTAGATATCGGATGTAGTTTGCAGCGGCAGAGGAAGCTTCTGTCAGGCTTCGTTAGGTAAAGTTCGGGATAATTTAATATACGAGCTAGGTTGCCACCCGGTTTGGGGGTTTTGACATTAAAGATTTCGATCAAAGCTCGGGATTTGGAAGTCCAGTTTGTTTTATATACAACTATAATATGTGTAAAGTATGTATATTGGGTAGGGGCTTCAGGGTGCGCTTTTGGTTTTCCTGTTTTGCACGCAACTGCTGCACTTGCATGGAACCTGGGCCTATAAAACCCTAAAGCCTGCAACCATTCTGAATGGCATAACCATCGTCACTGAGCTCCGCACACCATTCCCCAAAGCCGCCACCAGTTTGCTCGCGCTTGGCCCGGGACCTGCGGGGGATGCTAATGTTGGTGTTTTGCTCATGCAGGTCTATATATCGATAGAGACGCTGTTCTGCATGATTGCAAGACTCCAAACACGGTAGATCATGCCTGCATGCATTTGCCCTTGATTTTCTCGACCCGGACTTTTCCCAGCTGGTAACCATGGCATTTCCCTGCCGACACTTCCAAAACTTGGATCCTTGGCCCTTTGCACTCGACAGAGTGCAGCAGTATCGTCGGATACTAGGACCGATAGACATCGATAGGATGGGAGCAGGTTCTACAGCTGGGTTCTATGCATGCTTCGGTTGCATGAACACCCAAGGCCCCATAATGATAAGAGCTATAAAGCTAGTGCCTGTCTGTATATAGTAGCTAGCATGCAGGCCCAGTCCAATCCCACACCATCCTAGCGAGAACTCCTGTAGCTCTTAAAAAGCTTGCACCGAGTTCACTCGGAAGTCTTACCTCGCAAACGGGTACCGACCTTGGGAGCTGCCTTAGGCTTTGCCTTAGGTTCGGCTTCACTAACACTAGCATCCGCCTTAGCAGCCACCTTGGGTGCTGCCTTAGGCTTTGCCTTTGGTGCGGCAGCCTCCGATTTGGCTGCGGTCTTCATCTTGCACTGCTTGGCACGCGCCTCCAAGCCCAGGCTTTCCACGGCCCTCGGATGCATCAGCTCGGAAGGAGGGCACATTTTGGTTACCGTAGACGGGATTTGGATTCCAGGGTTTCTGTACTGGGTTGCATGGGCTTTCCAAACTTAGGGTTCTGATATGATTTCCCGGGGCCTCAACTTAGGTCGGATTTACTGATGATTTCGATCTATATGTTGTAAATACGGACTCTGGTCGACTCTCCATGGTTTTGGGGGTCAGATGATGTAACATAGTTAATGAATATATAATCTAACTGTAATATTTAATTAATGCAAAGTGTGAAACCTTACACAAATAAGCGGACGAGAAGGTTTGTACTATATAGACCATATGCATGTATATAACTTTAATGCCGATAGACTTTCTAGGTTTAGGGTTCAGGGTTTCATAAGTGCTGCATGGGAGCTCGTATAGATCGATCGAAGCAGAACTGCTTTGATCCAGGGATGGTTTTGGTTGGCTGGGTTGGGCAGTACATTTTCTGATTGATAATTTCAGGGTCCGAGGGGGCTTAATTTAAAGGGATTGAGATTTGGGCAGGATTGATCCGTGTTAGAGCTGGCCACACACCGAAGAAGCAACCCGTAGCTTAGAACAGCAGTATACTTGCCATCGAAGAAGAAAAGAACTATAGTAGGGTTTAGGATTTGTAGGGTTTGGGAGTTATAGGGTTTGGGGCCTGGGGCTTAAGGGTTAGGGTTTAAAGGACATTATGGTGCTTATATACATAGAGTCCTTGAATTATCCTAGGTTGCAGGCCTTTTGAAATCGTTAGCTAGGCGATACAACCATACACTCACAACCTATACACCCCACACTAGAGACTTCCCAACCCTGAGCGGTGCAAGAACTGTCGCATCCGTCTGCATAGCCATTGAAATTCTACGACTCAAGTCACAAAAGGGCCTATGACGTCGATAAGGTTCTTATACATGTATCCGAAACGAAGCAAATGGTTGCATCCACGTGGCACACGGGTAGCCTTCTTGTACAAGTCTTTCAAGGCAGCCGACTGCCTGAGATTTGCGGGATTACAAATATAGGTTTCTGATCTAAACATCTATCAGATAAGTCCTATTATGGTCCAAGGGTCCCAGGGCCATGGCCTTGCGCAGTTGAATCGGCGTAGATCTCGGAGAGCTGGTCGTGCAATGTGTCCATCAGAGACAAGCTGGCATCGATCTTCTCAAGCAGCCTGGGATGTTTCTTAGGGTCCAGGTTTTATTCAGAGGATAATTTAAAGCCCAGGGCAACAATTTGGGAATGTTACGGTCCAGGGGGCTTCTTCACAGCATCGTTTCGATCACTCTCGGGGATGGCATCCGGCTTGCTTCTTGCGTCACTCAGCTTGTTGATACGGTTCATGAGACAACTCTGGTACGTCATGAGATGCATCTCGGGCTTCTCAGACCCCATCAGCATCGGCAAGCCGAGCTGGGCAACAGGATCTTTCACAGAGCCTGGCATGATTGCTTAAAGTCTGGTTGAAAGGCCTGAGGTTTGGTGGCTTTCATCTTCGGTTCTATAGATTCCTTATGCCCGATCACCAAATATTCAAACCATAAACCCAGTATATAACGTATATATGCGTATGAGCCCTATATATGCACAACCTAAACCCTTGAAGGCCTTATATAAACCCTACTACAGAATGCAAGAGAACGAGAAAGACGGACCCGACCTCCAAACCACAAATCGGCCCGGACCTATACAAGGCTCCAGTATTGACGGGTTCCCAGGCTACGTACGTTGTATAAGGGTTACGGTGGATAGGATTTATATAAAGGGTCGGGGATTATATAGGGGTTTAATAAGCGGGGCTTAACTTAAATTTTAAAGTAATGGTGTCGCCTCCTGGCCCTTGAGGATTGGGGGCGTTGCTGCCGGATGCTCCGGAGGCCGACGGGGCACCGCATGAGAAATCACTGAAATCGAAATCCCGGCATTCATCACGGATCGTAACGTATTCACCTTTCTCGTCCATGTCCGGCTCCGCTTCGAATGCCACTTTGTCTGTGATCTCTGTGCGATGCGCCTGCTCCATGCTGGCTGACGCCTTGCGCTCACACCAGTAACGCACTTTTCCCGAATTGTAAGTGTCCATCCTGCCGGTGCGAACCATGCAAGCATAGTTTACACGAGCATGCATCAGACACATGCAGGCAACTGCAGTGCAGTCCTTTTGAAGCTGGGGTTCTTCTCGCACCAAGCCTTGATTTCATCGATGCGAGGCCTGAGACATCGAATGTTCGGTTGGGTGTTTGGGGTTCACATACATTATGAATATGTAATGCTTCTTTATATATACAGCATTCCTTTCAGGCAAGCTCACGATAGGAGGACTGTTTCGGGTACATTATGTGAGTTAAAGAGGAGCTAGTGTGTTAATGCAGCATACTTGGATCGAGATGGAGGGTTGTGTCATGCATGTATAATACGTGTGTATATATATATGTATACATTAGACATATATTATGTTTGGTAAATGTGATATATATATATACATACACGAGCTATAGTGTGTATAGAACTTAAAGTGATAATCCCGGAGCATCATCAGCATCAGAAACGACTCTGAGCATCCACATCCAAGAATAAACCCGACTTATGCAGCACCGGCAACTTGCTCAACTGGAGCTCTTCCTTCATCTCCTCCTCGGAGTAGAAGTCCCCCGTCACCGAAATCTTAAGCTCCTTGCTCTTCTTGGTCTCATGGGTGACGGTGCGGATGAATGAGTCCTTGTTGAAGCCCGACCCGACCCAGATTTTCAAGAGGCGCTCCCGGGAAGCTCCACCAGCCTTCCACTGATCGTGTATGTCTTGGGGCACTTGCATCGTCCCGTCTGCTCGGCGCTCGCACATCCTGCGCAAGCGCTGCTTTGCAGCAGCACTCGTCACCGGGGCCACCGCAGCCCCCTCAACCACAGCCCCCTCAGCAGCCGAATCCTCGATCGTCTCGACCGCATCAGCCCGAACACTCTTCCGGATCAGCTCCTTCGCGTCGGCCAGCTCTTGAATCAACGTTGCGATTTGAGCATCTTTGTCCTTGAGGATGTCCTGCAAGGCCTTGTAGCGGGCTTCATACTCCGAGGAAGCGGTGGCCGTGGACACAGCATCCGACAGGGCATCCGTGGATGCTGCCTTGCCTTTGGTCCGGTACATGTACTCTTCGGAGTAAGGGTTGAGAACAGCCGCTTCGCCAAGGGCCTTTACTATACACGTATAGTCACGATGGCGATATTGTGCATGTGTGTGTATATATATATATATATATATATATATATATATTAATTTATACACATGCATAGGGTGTGTGCATGCAATATACATGCATGCATAAACTGAGAGATAGCGACCATGCATATATATATATATATATATATATATAGCTGTAGTATATATACTAGCTAGCTAGCTTGCACACACACAAGATGCATACATGAGATATTCTAGCTAGCCTACATGCATGCAACCCTGACATAAGCCGTTAAAAAACAGTATCTATAAAACCCTAAACCCCTAAACCCTTCAACCCTAAACCCCTAAACCCTCTTATATGTTGAAGCTCGGCCCGATTTGTGACAGACCTCAATGAGAATTAATATACACCCTTTAAACTGCCTCCTTGAGGCGGTCTCGCATTTCACCTTCCGGGATTTCGGGTTCGGAGAGCCACGGAACTGTGTAGGGATCCCCAGCAGGACCTGCAGCACCGAACTCCGGAACTTCCGTAATGGTGTAGACATCCGAACCCTCTACGTATGTCTCCGGAACATCATCGTAATCATTTGCACCGGAGGCAGAGGCGGAAGCGGCGGCTTTGCCACCGGCTGGGCTGAAGCTCAGCTGCATGGGCTTCAGGGGTGAAGCCACAGCCATCTTGGTCTTCTTCAGCGGTGCTACATTCGGGCTGGGTTCTGCCACTTTGGATGGCGTGTGAATCGTGCGCTTCTGCATTTCCTGATTCATTTCGGTTGCGAGGAGGCGCTCGACTTCCTGCAATGTGATGAATGTAGGTTCTGTACCAGCGACCCCCCCAGAAAGAGCACTAGAGAAGCCCTACACAAGAAGCCGTGCTGTCCTTAATGTCTCGATCAATCACCTCTTCCTTGACCTGCTGAAGCTCCAGAGTGTCCAAACCCACACGAAGGGTTTCGAGGCTCCATGCCCTGCTTGGCATGTCTTTCTGCAAAGACTTGCCAGCACCGCCAGACATCGCTAGCAGTCAGGGAGGGTTCAGATCACACACGGCACAAAGCCTTGCAAAAGCTGCGACACACTCCACACGGTACGTTACCTATAGTCTCCATTGTAGGTCCCTTTTTGGTTAACCAAAATCTGTATTATAGAATCCTAACCATAAAACTTGTTAACCAAAAAAGGAACTACAATGGAGACTATAGGTATATGCCATGCACAAATCGCTCGCCATCTAAGGCATTGCCGAACTGCGCATCTGGAACACTCAAGACCTCTACATTGCACTGCATCTCGGAACATTCGGATGTTTTGCTTCTGCACCAGCACTGCAGGTTAGGTTATGCACATATGGTGTTGTGGTCATCCTGGGAGACATATACACGAGCATGCGTGCAAACACAGGCAGACAGAGCGAGAGATGTGTACAGTGTATACATATAGAAAGTATGCTAGAGGACAGCTACAGCTATATATAGAAAATATAGGTACACGATCGTCCCATACCACACCACATCTTGTGCCGGATTTCTGTACATCGCAAATTGAAAAGTGCGTGCAGCATCTATAGATCGGCGGCCACGCAAAAGGGACTGCTGCGTAGCTCAAACAGCCAATTAAGCCGAGCAGCCGAAACCTCTATAAGTTTAATTTTTAAGATACTAGGGTTTAGGTTTCGGGCTTAGGGTTTATAGGGGTTTAGTTAGGAATTATAGGGTATAACAGGGCTCAGGGAATACAGAGGTAATATTTGGGGGGTTCGACCTTCAGTCTGGGTTGCATCGGCTGGGCGGCACCAGGACCCTGTAGACTGTAGACTACATAGGTAAAGTATGGTCCCTGAGAGCTTCGGTCAACACCCTCCCCACCTGGATTTACATTCCTGCACCCTGGTACAGAGAGGAAATGCTGAATAAGAGCGGACTCCACTAGGCCAGCGGGCAAAGCTTCTTTAGCAGCAAAGATGACCTTCATACCAGTCCACTTGTCATACCTGTCATTCCTGTAACCGTAGACAGGGTTTTGCCATCGAGCAAGAGGTGACTTGGTAAGCCCAATCTTGAATATTGCCGGGTGTCTGGAGAATAAACCATTAACGATACTTCGGCAATGCTGAAGAACGGCTGACCCTGCGGTGGCCGAGTCACCCAAGTGCAGATGAAAGCTGATTTCCCCGCTGCTAAAGTTGGTGGTTTCGAGGCTTGGCACGATTTCCTGGACCATTCTAGGTAATGAAGCCAGTTCCTGATCCATGTTGCGGTACCAATGCCAGGGATCCATCACTTTCGTAGGGATTGGGGCCGTTGCAGCGGGTGCCCGGTACATACAAAGGACATCCTTCGTGGTAAGCTTTTGCAGCTGCTTCCTCAAGCCCTGGATGATGATGTGTAGCTTCATGTTTTGCTCCCTCAAATCTGCCTCGTGTTCGGAACCAGAACTTGAATCCACAGTAGCTGGTATCGCAGCTACAGTCTCGGGATTTGGCGGCCACGCCCCAGCTCCAAACCACTCGCTGTGTAAAGCTTGTGGAGAATCAGCAGAATCCCACAGCACTGATTGCAAGCTACGAAGACGTTTTCTAGAAGCCATCAGGATTCGATCGCCAAATTACAACATGCAGCATAGCATTATGTTAGATCAAACGAATAATTGAGTTGTTTAAACTTAGTGCACAGCAATCGTTATGGGACACCAGAGAGCCACACCTTTGCAAGCATACAGGAGGTGCCCATGTGCATGCTGCATGCACCTGTGGTTGTACAGAACACACGACTACGGAGCTTACGGGTCTATAGGTTATGGGTTCCACGAGGTGCTCGGGGTACGAAGTGTACGCGGGTACAGGCGGGTACAGGCTGTACGGGTGGTACAGGGGTACCGGGCTGGGTTGTCCGGGGGGGTTCGGGGGGTACGGGGGTACGGGGGGTACGGGGGGTACGGGGGGGTACGGGGCGTACTAGGGGTACGGGGGGTACGGGGGGTACGGGGGTACTGGGAGTAGAGTACAGGGGGTACAGAGGGGTACAGGGGTACGAAGTGTACGGTGTTATACACAGTGTACAGGTATTCAGGCCTGGATTGGGGGTGCCAAAGCTGTGTACACTGGCTTCCGGATAGCTAGCTGCAAGGCTTCCAGGAGGGGCTGGGGTACACCGGGGTACGCGTACAGTTCGTACGCTTTTTTACGCCTTTGGTACGCGCTTTTACGCCTTCGGGTACGGGCATTTCGGCCTTCGGGATTTTGACAGGAACAAGCCAAAACAAGCCCAAAACGTATCGTGTTGTCCGAAATGGCAAAAACCTAGCCGGACCTATCCTAAACTGCTCACAAGCGCTTTGGGATGCGTGCCCGCCATTGCAGAGGTATTTGCAATCCACGTGCACCCCTCACATATGTGATTGCTTCAAGAAGCCTCGCATCGTTCCATAGATCGTCGAAGCCGAGGCCATCAAACAGCTCAGCAATGTCGGCACCTCCAACCTTGGACTGCATTAAGGGAGGAAGTGGCTTTGGGTAGGTTGAGGTGGCATCTATATAAGCAAGAATGGGACCAAACGTGTATTTGCACTGCATATATATATATATATATATAACTAGCCCGCACTGGAATGCAAGTTTTCTATATACACTCTATATAGACTCTATATATATATATATATATGCAGTGCAAATACACGTTTGGTTTCTATACATGCTTGCGTGTTTAGGAAGAAATATACATGCTTGACATATATGCACATGTATATTTCTAGCATATATTTTGCATATATATATATATATATATACATATATGTATATATAGATATGATACACATGTACACATGCATGTGCATGCATGTGTACTACACATGTATGCACATGCATGTGTACATGTGTATCATATCATATCATGCATACCCATGTGCACAACGTGAGCCCTACGAGATGCACACATGTTAGCAACTTGCATGCATGCATGCATGCTCTCCTAAGTTCGTATAGATATATACACCCAGACCTTCCAAAACCCCCTGAATTAAGGAATAAACCTTAAATTATAGTAGGGTCCCTACTATGATGTTAAGGTATATTCCTTAATTAAGGGGTTTTGGAAGGTCTGAGCATATCTAAAACGCCTCTGTTCTAGTTAACATGCACGGAGGAAAACAAATAAAGCAACCCCTGCTAGCACCCTTTTCGGAGTGTATCCCGGACAAGAAGCCAAACGTTGGGGTTGTAGGATGTATTGTGCAGCCTATATATGTCCAGCACAATTCAAACCCTATGTAAGCATAAACCCCGATACATAGTTTGTATAGGATAATTTAGAAGCTGCCCCCACCCTATAATAGTGGTATAATAGGATTTTATAATAGGGCCCTAATATAATCCTCTGTATATATATATATATATATAGTCCTTATGGTCACTATTACAGGGTGGGGGCAGCTTCTAAAGGATAATGTCAGGGACGTATATATATATATATATATATATATATATATATATATATAGAACCTCAAAGCAAGACCCGGATGCACACAAGCCGCCGTTGGCACCGAGCTCTTCCCGGTCAAGAGAAGAGGCTTGAATTGCAGAATGGCATTGGCGAACTTGTATGTGTACGTCCTTATGTAGGCAGGTCTTGCTTGCTTAAAACAGGGACCCATGGGCTTGTATGGCTTATACTTCTTCTGCTTAATTTAAGTCCAGGCCTCTGCGTAGCTTGCAAAGCCTTGCTTCCAGTCCAAACCAACCGACCATGACGATCTACGTAGCGCTTGCTTGTTTTAACTTTAGACTTCTTCATTTCCGAACGAGCAAGACGACCCAAGTCGAATCGTCTGATCTCCAGAGAATTCGAATATAAAGAAGTCCTCTTCGGAGTCTGCGAGCACTAGTGCTGCATCCAGAAGTTTTGCTTCCATACCTCGGCTAAGGGTCGTGCAATTTCATTGGTGTATACTGCTAGATTATAAATTAGTTGCTGCAATCGAGATATGCATGGGCTACTGCAGAGGACACCGTACACATGCATGCATGCAGGGAAAGGTATTGCATTCTAGTTGCATTGATGCTGCCAAACCAAGACTCTATCAGGTCACTCAGTCGGTCATGTTTCATCAACAAAGAAGTCACGGGCTGCTCCACCAGGAACGTGCCGCCACAAGCGACGACAACGAAGAGCAACAGGGTTGTCCTCGTGAGTCGTGAGCCACTATGTTAAACCACACATCAAACTATAGATTCTACCGCCTCTATAAAACCCTTTCTCGCTTCTCTCCCTTTCTCTCTCTGTACATATAGAGGTCTCTCTCCCTGACTCTCTTTCTCACACTTCTAGGGTTTATATAGCGTAGGCCTTTAAGTTTTGAATTCCGCAGTATATATGTATCGTACAAGTCGTACAACCACAAGATGGTTTGTGGTGTGAGCTCAGAAGCATGCAGTCACGTGCTAAGGTATGCATATTTACTGATCGAGAATCTACTGGCCGCTGCTTCGCGCTCTCTCCCTCTCTGCCATTGGGCGCTTCATGGCTGGAATCGGGGGCGATTTCTACAGGGACTTGGGTTTTCTAGAAAAATAATGTACGGAGAAACTCAAAAGCTTCGGAGAAACATTCTACGAGGCAAGGACAGTGAGAGACCTGCCGACGTAATGGAGTGCGAGAGAGAGAGAGAGAGAGAGAGAGAGAGAGAGAGAGAGAGAGAGAGAGAGAGAGAGAGAGAGAGAGAGAGAGAGAGAGAGAGAGAGAGAGAGAGAGAGACAGAGGGATAGAGAGAGAGCTTGAGATACAGATATGTGTTATAGAGAGAGGGAGGTGAGGAGAGAAGTATAGCACCCAGGATAATGATAACGTGGGATCCCAAGCCTTTCGAAACAAGCTTGCCCGAAATTTTACACCAGCCCTGCCTGGCTGCCAGCAAGTTAGCTACAGCAACTTTCTCGTACTCCTCGAAGCCCATTGGTGTTAGTTCGGATCTCTTTGAGGTTCCGCGAGAAGAGAGAACAAACGAGGAGCAGCATACTGCTATCACAGCCAGGAAGGCATCACGGCGACCACGAAGAATCAGTAGGATGCACAACCTTGCTGGAAAATGCATGCAAACTGACTCCTAGTATAGGGCTATAGGGTGGCCCACTTGTATAGCTGCTATACATCAGTTGCAACCAAAGAACACAAATCCTGAAGGCGTAGTCAAGTCCATTGAACCCTTCTTAGACAATGGGGCATCGTACTGAAGATCCACAGCGACGGCCCGCTGGCCGGCTCGACGAAATTGTTTTGTGACTTCGCCCACACCAGCGAACACTTCGATAAGATCGTATTGGCGCCCAGGCTCATCAAGCTTGGCTTCGGGAAGCCAAGAGATCAATAAAACAAGAAGAACCAGGGCCTCACTACACAAGGAAGGAGGGAGGCAACAACTACTTGGATAAGCATCTGTGCCGCATTGCTTCATGAGTGGCTAACTAAAGTGCAGGACAGAGTCTTTGGGTGCTTGTAGACCGATGAGCCTCCGGACCACAATATCCATATCCCAAGAATTGACCATTGGTGTGGCACTGCAAAAGTATCTCGAACAATTATAGTTTGCATATCTACGGATCTACAGATGCGACAAGTTCCTGTTCGGACGCTTTGTATGGGCGAAGTACACTATATAGGGCTTTGGGGACCAAAAGGATTTAATTAAGGTTCAAAGTTATTTACATTGATTCAGAGTTTCGATGTCGGGTTGCACATGCAATGCATGTATGCATCCATGTGTGCCAGCTCACCATGTGGTTTCTGCAGAGCCATGATATTGCAAAGCATGTTTGTGCAAGCAGGGTTTAATTCATGCCTGCATGCAATGCAAGTGTAACCTGTCCTGATGCGGGCAGACATGCAAACGGAGCTGCCAACGTGTCTGTAGTCGCAACGAAAAGAGCAAATCCGAGAGACATAGCTTCGCACACAAGGGGGGGAGCACCTGGATCCGTCGCCGAGGCCAGCCCATACTTCATCGCCGCTGATATGGGAGGCATCGTTCGACCTGGGCCACCGTTTGGTTTAACATAAGGGATTTGGGGGTAGAGGGTTTATAGTGGGTATATATACAGGGTTCTGGGAAAGCTTAGGTGATCGCTCTGCCGAGCTTTGCAATGTGCTGGCATGCATGTGCACAGGAGGCACTCAAGCAACTGGATGTTTTGTCTGCGTGCGAGCAGCATCTGGGGCACCGAGATTCGGCGCTTCAACGGCACATAAAGCTGATTCAATGGCTAAACCACAGTCAGCAGGAATGCATGGGCCCACGGCACATATCATCGTTCTCGAAACTTAGATGAATCCAAATTGTGTGGGATAGAAATATAGGGCTTATGTAGGGGTTATAAATTAACAAAGGGGTGCTATATGGCTTTCGGAAGCAAAGAACCCGACCCTAGTCACGAATTGTTAAGCTCCATGGCTCTATACTACCCATTGTCAGGCTTCAGGCTCAGCTCATATAGGTCGTATAGTTATAGGAAAACATTAACTAGGGTTGTACATCAAGAGTATATATACGACATCGTGGGTATAGGGTCTAGTGCAGGGTTTGTTTAGAAAAGCATTATGAAATTTCCCCTTTACCACACGTGCCTGCTGGGCATCTAGACTTGAATTAGTACAACGTACGGAACTTCGGCTCAGCATCTTTAGACTTTAGACTGGCAGGCTTGCATGCTCAGTAAACACCCGCCAAGAACTCGGTTTTGATCCTGTTCATTGCCTCCAGCAGAGGCGGGGTGACACAAGCCTCGGCATCATCCAGAAGCTTCGCCTGGGCAGAAGGATAGTTGTATAGATTGTAGATTATGCAACATCTGAAATACATTGCATGCTGCTGCACTCAGAATCGAACGGCTTTCGCTGCAACCTCAATCACTGCGACGATCGGGACTTTGGAAGTAGCCACGTAGAGAACCTGCTTGAAGAAGAGTTCATTAATCAATATCTATCGAACCCCGGACTGTATAGCTGGCCTATATATACATTGAGGACCCCACCTGCTTCCCTTTGTCTTCACCCATCTTGCACTTTACACCCACACCCGCTCGAGTCCAGTACACGGACAGCTCAGCGTGCTTGAAGGTGGGCACCGGCGGCCGATCAAGCTGCTTTCTTCGGCGCTTCGAGGCACCTTCCTCGGCACAAGCCTCCCCGGCATCCTTTGCCTTTGTTGCTTTCGCTTTGCGCTTGCTGCCGTGTGCTGCGTCATCGGTCGTGCTCCGCTCCTCCCTATCCTTGGCTTTTTTTCCTCTCCCTTTGCCCTTGGGTTTCGGCTGCTCCTTGCCGCTGCTAGCTGCCCCACTGCCACTCACATCCTTATCAGCTTCACTCGTCTCCTCCCTATCCTTGGCTTTTTTTCCTTTCCCTTTGCCCTTGCTTTTCGGCTGATCCTTGCTGTTGCTAGCCGCCTCACTGCCACTCTTCTCCTCATCAACTTCCGTCGTCTCCTCCCTATCCTTGGTTTTTTTCCCTTTTCCTTTGCCCTTGCTTTTCGGCTTGTCCTTGCTTCCCGCAGATGCAGAGTCAGCGTGTGTTTTGGACCCACGTCCGCCACGCCCGCGCCCACGCCCTCCACGCCCCGAACCTCTGCCACGCTTGGACTTGTTTGTCACCGGCTCCTGCTCCTCTTCCTCCGGCTCCTTGTTTTTTGCTGCCTCCAGGTCTTGGTTGGCCTTCAGAAGGATAGCCTGTGGGTTCGATTTAAGGTAGTTTATGTCTACTGAATTAACGTCATTAACGTATTTAGGAAATATATATATATATATATATATATATATATCTATCTATACTAGGGCCCCAAGGGTTTATATAAATATAGATTGTACGGTATATATTATAGGATAGGGTTCGGGTCTTTGGGGTTATATATATATATATGGTAGGAAATTAAGGTTTTAGTAGTTTTTGGTGTCTAGGGCTCTGTAGGGCGAACGGTGCGAATCCCAAAACAACTTGCCTCTTCCATGTACTTCTGAAGCTTCGAAGATGCTTCATGCCGACACATGAATGGCGGAGCCGAGGAAGCACTCCCCTCCTTAAAATTCTTAGCGTCCTCCTTGGCTTTAAGCTTCAAAGCCTCTGGGGCAGGGATGAGCCTTTTAGGAATGCATGGTGGTATCCTAGACATGCATGCATGCATGCGCCCATGCAGCTGCATGGCTATGAAGTTGTATAGTTATATTTGCAATTAAGGCATGCATGCAAAACTACAAAGGCGTGCACCCGTGCATGTGTATAGATACCCTGACCTCGCTCAGAATATTCTTCACCTCGGCCCTGGCTTCGGGAGCAAACTCAAGCTGATCCTCCTCCTGCACAGGTGCTGGCGGAGGGACTTCACGAAGTGGCTCTGGCGCCTCATGCGGATGAACAGCTTCCGGAGCCGCACACGGGGGCTTGGCAGCAAGATGGGACTGACTCGCGTCCCCCGGAACCGGGCAATTTGAAGCATCAGGAGGGAGAGGCTTTCGGGATGCAGCAAGTTCCCCAAGAGTCTCGTCATCCGAATCTTGGATCTCCATGCAGTCTGTCAAGGCTGCAGCGCTAGCATCGGCATCATATGTCTGCGTCTCCACATTGTCCATCATGATACCTTAAACAGATAAACACAGCATGAATTAAGATCGTGTATATATATATATATATACATGCATGCATGCACATGCAGTACCGTGATCTTACTATCGCGAATGCACATATAACTCAGATGAGAGGCCTTTGCATGGCACCCGGATGCCAGCTTTTCGGGCTTCCTGTTCTCTCCTTATGTAGGACATCTCGAAAGCCCACAACATGCAAAACAATCGTGCTTCGGTCCATGATGCATGTGCATGCATGCATGGGATTTATGATGCAGTCCAGCGTCTTAAGCTTTGCAAGCATAGAGTGAAGGACTTGCAGGCGAGTAGGCTGTGGTGCATCAAGCTTCGGGTAGGAGTCCTGCCTTGCAACAACACCTGTGGGTCGCTTCGGGGTTGGCGTAGCCTCAATCTCAATGATGTCGCGAGGCTCCGAACGAAGCTCGCCCGCCGCAGCGGCTGGGGGCTCGGGGATGGTGGCAACTTCCTCCCTTCCAGGGTCCTCCTCCTGTTGCTCCTGAACCTCATCATCCTCGCCTGCCACTTCATTTTCTACTGCAGGTGCCATCTCCTGGTCATCAGCATCATCCGCCTCCATTCCATCATCTTGCTGAGCCTCATCTGCCTCCTGTTCATCATCTTGCTGAGCCTCATCTGCCTGCTGTTCATCATCTGCCAATGCCTCTTCATCATCCCCTCCTGCATCCTCCACTGCTTCCTCGCCTGCCTCCTCCTCCTCTAGCTGATCGTAATCTTCATCATCTCGAACCCCTGCGTCTGCCTCATCCTCAAGCTCTCGCCGAAACTACCGTGTGTGACACATGCAGACAAGTGCAAATGCAGATCTGACATGTTTTCGTGTAGCTTGCTGTGGGTTTAGGGTTCAGGGGTTAATTAGGGTTTATAATCATGAAGTCAAGCAAGGATTGTAAGACGGGTAGCACGAAGCGGGGCATCCAACTCATGGCACCTTTGGGGTGCCCAGGCCAGCAGCAGCTCGCGCTTCAGCTGCCGGAGATTGGCGTCCTGGGATCGAATCGCTCGAGGAAGCGGGCGCTTCTCGTTCATATATTCATGATTGCCTGTCAAGCTTCGGGGCTTCGACTCTTGGTGGGAAGTCTGCGAATGAACTGAGAGATCATCTTGCGCAATCCCCACGAGTCGCAGTAGATCTGGATCTTACACACCGGCTTGTTCAGCAAGTCCCAAAACTTGCGAACCTGGCAGGACCCATTGGGTAAACTAGCTTATATAAATTTAGCCAACACAGAGATTTGCATGCATACGACAATTAAGAAGCTAGCCTCCTTCTTCACAGCTGCTAGTCGCGGAGTGCGAGGTGCAGTGCATGAGTTTGCCCAGATATGGAACAAAGGAAGCAGCACATCGAAGTTCAACTTCGCGTTTTGCATCGATGGGATGCCGGTCTGGGCCGGCTTGCTCCAAACCAGAAGCTTACCCTCGAAAACAAAACGCCGTCGAATATTTTCACACTTTTCCCACTCCTCGGCAAGCCCTGTAAGGGCTCTCGGAATCCTGCCAGCCATGGCGCTCGTGCGACAGCTACAGACCCCAGCACTAAAGAGCAGAGCCCAAAATCTGATATCAATGCCGCAACAGTATCACCATTCAACCAGCAGAACACCCAGTGGCTAGGTGCACAAGAAAACACTTCCCACCGGCTGCGAGGCCCCTGCCAGTCCAGACCAAAAAACTGGCTCGAGCGATGAACGGACCTGAATTGGCACAGGCTGTGGGTGGGGGGGCCATGTAATTATAATGGTCTGCATGGGCCGGGACCCAACTTGTCTACAACATTCGGAGACTGGCACATGCGAAACTACAGAATCTTCGGAAATTCTGATGCCAATCAACAATGTATCCCAGCCCCGGTCGTTTCGAAGTATAGCAGCATGTGCATTCTAGGGCCCGGTCACACCAGCACGTTGGTCACTGTTGCGACCACCAGGCCACCCACCTTCCGCAAATTAGAAGTTGACAAGGTTGGCTTGAGGGAACAGTACATCGAGAGGAGTAGTATAGATACACGGCCATGATTGCACCACTGTGTAACAGCTGTGTGCGTGCATGCTGTGTCCGCCGAGCCTGGGATTTGCATATAGGTCCCACCACACGTAGACGATGAAGTCGAAGAAGGCCGCACCTGTCATGGATGAATGCATCATGTACGCATGTGCACAAAGGCTCGGGAGGCTACCATATTAATATCATGTTACGATTGATGTAGCTCGTGCTCCGGACACACAGAAATCTGCGCACTCATGCCCAGCATACCGATGACTCGCTAAGGATGGATGATGAGAGCTGCATGCGACGATACCGGCATTTGCTGCCCGCCTGCACCTGGAAATCTCCACCCACCGACCCTGTCGTCGACGTCGAAGACCTGGCCACAATTAAGTAACATGCACACCGAGCTCTAGCTGGCCTGTATAGATTATAGATGCGAAAAGCAGCATGCAGGTCTTTTCTTTGCACTCGGGCCCCGGTGGCATGAACTCGGCCCGAACATGGGTTCGACGACTGTGCATGGTCCATACATTCTAGCTGCACATGCTAACTGAACATCACTTTGACTTTGGCCGGCTCTTGATCTCAGGCTGCTCGGATGAGCCCGATGAGCTGCCATCTGACGTCGACGTGAACTTAGATGTCATGAACCAAGACCCTAAACCCTAAGACCCGAAACTCTTTAAAGCCTTTATATCTATATATAAGCCCTATATGAAACCGAACAAACGAACCCCGCATAGCCTCGATCTATACTGCAACCCGAGCTTCAATCTTAATTACAATGCTTGCTAGCTGTTTCATGCTAGCACTTAATGTACCATATGTAGGGTCGAGTGATTGGGATAGGGTTTTAAGGCTGTATAGATCAAAAGATTTATATAAGAGCCACCGACTCATAAACCCGTACAATAAAGTTGCACGTATGGTCGAGTATTGGGTTTAGGACATATCAGGGAATTAAAAAAACCCATTAAGCACCAGCCCCATACTTGCAAGAATTTGTCGCCGAGACTCATCCAGCTTGTCTTTGCCTGGGATAGAAAAAGGCTGAATGAGAGGAAGCTTTTAGTTTGGGTTCATGACGATTGTAGCAAAGCGACCCGGGGATTTTGCCCACAGATGATGGAGTTGCTTGACAATGCCACCACTGCTATAGTTCTGGCACATGGAGCCCACCATTTCCGAAGTCAACTCCTGTTTCCAGGCTGTTTATGTGCATGGCTTTATATAGGCATAGCTTAACACGACTGATATAACACTTGTTTCCGAGTTCACAAACAACACAGTGAGAATAGCTGATACAGCCAGCCTTCTCATCATGGTGATCATCGTAGATGGTTGCCTTGCAATCCACCCAAAACTGGTCCGGCATCTCGCTGAGACCTCCACAGACCAAAACCCACTGGCACTATACATGCGCAAGACTGAAGCGCTACCCACCCGGCCTAAGCGTTCTACCTTCGCTCGCATTGGGCCGTCATCCTTGAGTGCTTTACTCAGCAGCATGGCAGCTGCACACTCGCAAAACGAGTAATGCTTGGAATGACGACACCTCTCGGAGGATCGCAGCTGCGGAAAAATGATTGTTCAAGCCGCCCCCCAGCAAAATGTCATGCACACAGAAATGCATCAGCTTGTGAGCAGCCATCTAGCAAGGAAAAACGCACAGCCGCGAGATAATGGAGCCGGAAGCACCCCTCGCTCGCCATATCGATGGTCAAAGGCCATGCCGGTACACCCAAAGGCGCATAACGACATGAAGAATAACCCATGCATGAAATGCACATGGAGCTATACTGTGGCTACATAGAACAAGTGAAGCACTGGGGCTGTATAGCGATGTCCATGCTTCCGAATCATTCACAGCTTCGCAGAGGCTTCCAAAATTGAAATCAGCCCTCGGTTCAACCTGCAGAGGCTTCCAATTGTCGAATCAGCCTTCATGAATCGGAGACGACACACTTTCAGCCTTAGAGGCTGAAATACAGCCGAAGGCTGATTCGCATGAGAACTAAGCACACGAACAGCCAAGGCTAATATTTCAGGCCAGAAAGGCTTAGCAGGTACCCAGAGCATGTCAAACTTCACATGACCGACATTTTGCACGAAACGGACAGACAGTCTGATCTTGAAGCTGACGTGCAGTCAGTACATAACAAGTGAAACCTCTGTCCAGGGACACATCCGTGGAAATAATCTGTGCCTTCAGAGCTGGTGTCTGTGTGAAAGCACTCTGAAACCGGACAAGTGGAACCTCTGTCCAGGGACACAGCTGTGACATTGTCCATCCCACGCCTACTAAAGTATAAATTTATTATTATGACACTCCATGTCCTTATAAAGACTGTCCCTGAATCCGTTGTCGCTCATCCGTGACAGTTTCCTCTACTTCTTTAGGTGAACTTCTCAGATCTATGTAACGGCAGTAATACATACCAGTCACTGCGGCAACACCACTCACCGGAGGCCTGTCACGGCCGGTCTGTAGATCAGGCAGCCGCCCAGGTCTAATGCTTCGTTGCTTCCTAAATCCATCACCGCGCGACCTCGAATCAGACCGTTGGTCCGCAGCAGCGATAATTTCTGAGAAAACGGCCCACGAGCAGAATAAAGTCTTCCCAATGATAGCCCGGGTACGGTTGCTGGGCCAGGAATCATATCCTTCCAGTCGCAGGTCCTGTCGTGATCACAATAACCATACTGACCAGCATGCCTATGTCGACACGAAAGTATTTGCATGCCGACACAAAGCAATTCAAGCGATCCTCAATGTCACGTGCTCTTCGCAAACGTCTGATAATCGGAGGTGTTTGCGTGGCTTTCTCGTTGCCGGGCAGCTCCTGCTCGCTGTCCGTGTTGTCCGTGTTGTCCGTGTTGTCCTCTTCGCCTTCAGGTGCCTGCGCATGTAGTACAGCTTGCTTCTCAGCAGAACCCTTCTTTTTTCGCCATGCTTGCCAGCCACTTTGACCACTTTGACCCGATCGCTGCCCGCCCTTCTTTGCTTTCATCGCTTTCATCGCTTTCATTGCCCTCACATTGCCGTCGTTGTGTTGGACCTTGGCCGCCTTCATTGCTTTCATGGCTTTCATTGCCCTCGTGTTGCCATCCTGCTTGGCGGCCTTCTTGGCCTTCATGGCCTTCATGGCTTTCATGGCTTTCATGGCTTTCATCTACTATGTAGGTAAGCTCTGCAGTTGATGCCTTGAACCTGTGTCTGCGCCACAGGGTGTAGGTGCACTCGCCGGGCGCACATGTCAAACAGGCACTTTGGTCTCACTGAATTTCGTTAATAATCCTAGTAAAGTTACTACACTGTTGGATATTATTCTGCTTGCGTTACGCATGCGCACGCCGGCCGTGCAAGTATATATACAAATTCGATAATATTATTCTGCTTGCGACATGAATTTACGGATGTGTGCGCAGCGGGTCGTGCAGGCGTACGCGCGACGGGCGCGCAGGAGTACGCGTGGCGGGCGGTTAACTGACGCAAAACCATAAATACCGAGGAGTACGCGCGCCGGGCGCGCAGCTGTACATGTGAGTTGAATGCTTCATTGAAATAAACATTCAATTCATTCAATAGCATAATAATCATAATAATAATGCTTGCGACGGCGCGCGCCTGGCGCGCGCCGGGCGCGCAGGTGTATACGTGCCAAGTGTACGCGTGTAGTATATTTGCACTATTCCTTAATATTCTGCTTGCAACGGTGCGCGCCAGGCGTGCGCTCGGGGCGCGCACCGGGCGCGTGCCGGGTGCGGGCCGGCGCGCGCGCCGGCGCGCGCGCCGGGCGCGTGCCGGGCGCGCGCCGGGTGCGCGCCGGGCGCGCGCCGGGCACACAGGTGTATACGTGGCAAGTGTACGCGTGTAGTATACTTCTAAGGGCGGGGTGGTTATAAATGATTACAGTGCTTAGCATGGTTAAGTATCTTGTGCAACCATGGTTATTATCATGGCTAAGTTGTTGTTAGTATACTTATAAGTAGGCTATGTTGCAGCAGTGCAGATGGCTTGTTTAGTAAATGGACAGGGTCATTTAACAATCAGATGTTGTTGCTTGTAAGTGATTAGACAGGATAGACAAGATATGGATATTTTACTTAGCCAAGTTAGCATACTTAATGCTAACTGAGGTCGTGCCATTTAGCACAATTAAGTAAACAGGCCAAGTGTGCTTAGGTGCTGTTCTTTTTGGTATATGTATCGATGCTCGCGGGCAGTATATTTTCGCCTGCAGGGCAATAAAGCTTTAATTCCACAGGCAGCCATGCCAGCAAACACTATTTTTTTGTTTCATAAGATGCATGCATGCTCGCAGGCAGTATATACTTAGTTCGCCTGCAGGGCAAGAAGGGCAAGAAAACCATCATGTGACCATGTGTATATACCGACGAAGTTTCTCTGCTCGAGAACTCAGTGTACTTCTAGGTGGAACAAGGTGCAATGGCGCTGTCGCCTGAAGTTTACGGGGAAATCGCAGCCCTACTGCGGAAGACAGAGGGAGGCGAG